GGATGAGCTTGCTGGTCTGCACGCAATGCGAGCGCAACAACCGACTCCGACCACAAGCCCCCGTCTTGGGAAACCGCTACTCCCCAGACCTCTCCTCGGGCGCGTTTTTTTTTTTTTTTTTTGCTGAGGAGCAGGAGATGGGAGCGGACAGCGATAGTATACACAACGCATGGTCGTCGCAAGGCTGTCCTGCGAACGTGGCCGAAATTCCGGCCGGGGAAGAAGAAGCTACCTGTGACAATGATTGCCTGGGCGAGCGTGCACCCTCGTTACAATCCGTTGCAGGAGCAGCTCCGCCACAGGAGGGGCAAACATATACACTGAAAGGCAAGCGGGAGCAGGGGAGAGAGAGGACGAAGGAGGAGGGAGGACAACGAGCAGGGAGGGAGGAAGACAGCACAAACGGAACCAACACTCAGCGCAGGTCTCCGCCACTGCTTAGGAGCACGGCCTCTGGCAAAATCGCGCGAACGCGGAGCGATACGAAATACCCCAACATCGTATCGGTGAGACCGGGTGGAGAACAGGGGGCAGGAGGAGGCAGCGAAGGAGAGGGGGGAAGGCAGAGACAAAACTCATGGTCCTTGCGCGTCAGAGGCCACAAAACGCATTGTGGCAGCGCGCGCCAGGAAGCCCCACCCACAAGACAGCGGGGAGGGGGAAAGCACCAGGTGCCCTGTGAGAACGATATACGATATAAAAGTGAAACCCGCCAACACGCATAGGAGGAGGGGAGGAAAGAAGAGGAGGAGAGCCAACGAGCACGACCAGAGCCCCACTAGGAGCAGCGAGGCAACTGCCGAAGCCAGCGGGCTACGCCTGGTGCCGGCGCTTGTGCACCGAGCTCAGGAGCGCCATCGCGGGAGCGTGGCCCCGTGCGCCCTCGCGCAGAAAACCGCGGAAGAGCTCGGCGGCAGGCCCCGCCGTGGGAGTTAATCTCAAACAGTTGTGCGTGCGGTACAACGCGTAAACACTCAAGGCGCGGAGGGAGGAGGCCCGGGCGCCGCCCTCAGGAGGTGCGTCGATAAGTATGCGTCGCGTTGCAGGGCGGAGGGAGAGAAATACGTCCAGCTCGAGGTCGTGCGGTGGCCGCTCCAAGCGAAGATGGCGACGGCAGAGCCCATGGTAACACGGGCAGCGGGCGTAGTGCTCAATGGAGTCGTCGGCCCGCCCGCAACCCAGAACGCACGTCCCAGAACGCCCAAACCGTCGAGCCGTCATCCACCCATTGAGGCCCACCCGCAGTACAGCCGCCAACACTCGGGGGGGCATGTGGGCCCGGATATCCTGGAGCTGCCGTCGATATGCTGCGCATCGGTGACCCGAGAGAACCGTAGCCGGCCAGTGGTCGAGACGGCGCCGTAAGAATCGTTCTGCTGGCTCGGAGTGGGCAGGGCGGGTGGCGCGCAGGGCGCGTGCTTGCCAACCCTCTCGCTGTCCCTCCTTGGTTTCTAGATTCATGAGTGCCGCGGTGAGGTCGCCCTTCCCCTCGAACGCCGCGAGTGCGGAGTCCAGCGAAAAGAGGATAGTACTGGTAGCCCACGGTAGGCGGGTTCCCAACCGCCGGATGCTGTCGAAGTCGGCGAGCAATGACCTCAAGGAGGCGGCGCGGCAGCGCACCCTCAAGCCTCCGCTCCGGCGAGCCTCGTGCAACGACACCCGTACTTTAGCAACGTCGGCTATCGCGAACAGGTCCGCCAGGTCCCGGGGGAAGCTGAGGGAGCTCACACGTTTGAGCAGGTCACTGGTGATCCAGTCCCACGGCCCTGGGAAGAGTTTCCGCAGAGCTCGGGCCTCCAGCTGGGGGAAATCGTCCGGGAGGGGGTCGAGCTGCAAAATGAAGGAGACCACGGAGGCGACGAACACCTTGTACGCCTCGATGGTGTGCAAAGTTCCCGCGCTTACCTTGCCCCACACGTCCGCGCGATCCAAGAACTTCCCCATAGCTGCGCTCCAGGACTTCTGACCGCGCCCTGGCCCCACCACGAAGCCCAGGTATTTCGCGCAGTCCGCAATCGACATCGCGCCCCTTAGCGGCGCGCGCCGTTGGAGCTGATCTCGAACCTGCTCGTTGGACAGCTGCCCCAAAGGGATCAACACCGTTTTTTCCACATTCAGCTCCAGGCCGGAGATCCGGGCGTATTCGCCGAAGACCTGCTCGAGCGGGCTCAGGTGCTCCAACAGATGCGGATCGACCAGCGCCGTGTCGTCGGCGTACGCCCGAAGGGCTACGGCCGGGAAGTCGCGGGCGAGACGCCTCAAGAGCAAGTCCGCGGCCACTGCGAAGAGGAGGGGGGGGAGGGGGCATCCTTGCCGGATGCCGCGGTGGATCGGGAAGCCCTGGTACCGGGCGCCGTCCAGGACGATCTCGCAGAAGTTCCCGTTGTAGAGCACGTCGATGAAACGTCGCAGCCATGGCGGCCAATTCAATGACTCGAACACGGACCGAAGAAAGGAATGCTCGATGGACGGGGAAGCGGCCGCGAAGTCGAAGAAGATAGCGCCCCCGTCGTCCGACGTGCACGCGGCGCGCACCGCAGCCTCCTCGATGTCGACAAGGTTGGACAGCATGGACCTCCCAGTAATGAACCCGCGCTGGATGTCCAACGCGCGAGGGCCCACAACAGGTTCAATGAGAAGCCGGACCGCGCTGGCCAACAGCCGATTGTCCGTATTCGTGACGTTCAAAGGACGGACGTTTGCTGGCTTGTAATACCCTTCGCCCGTGGGTCCCACCCCGGAGGGCTTTTTGGGGGGGAAGAAGAGCAGGCTGGAGTTGAAGTCCGCCGCAAAATCCTCCATGAGCTCCTGGGCATCGCCCCCGGACAGGGCCGCGAAAGCGTCGCTCAAGACCTCCACCGAGAGCCGCACGTTGCACCTCCACGCCTGGAGCGGGATGCCATCTGGACCCGGGGAGGAGTTATTGGAGCTCAAGATGGCCTTGCGAACGTGGCGACGAGAGAGGCGGAAGGAGTCCTTGAACGGCACCGCGTCCCTGAGTGGGCGGGTGTCCTCGTCCTCGTCCGTCCAGGCGCGCAGCAAGGCCGTGTCGATTCCCTTAGCTTTGAACACCTGCCCCCAATGAGAACGAAGAGCATTGGCCTTCCCGTCCGGACAGGTCACCACCTCCCCGTCGGGCCGCTCCACGGCTGAGACACCGCCGGCACGTCCTGGGGCAAGCCGGTAAATCAGGCGGGCGTTCTTCTGCCGGGCCTGCGTCGCGCGGAAATCGTCCTCGCTGGTGAGGTCGGCGTGCGACTTCCCGAGCTCGTCGATAGCGTGTTCCCTCGCCAATTGGATCGCGTGTAGCCGGACCCCCCGGAGATGCCGGGATATGTTGCCCTCGACGACGTACGGGTTGTCCACGCGGTCCCGCAGGGAAGGGTATCGCAGCAAGCAAGTGGAGATCTCGTGAACGCGGCCGGCTTCAGCTGCCCGGATGAATTTCATGGTGCACCCCAGCCGGTCCTCAAGCGCGGTAGCGGCCGGAGGCGTCGAGCGCTCGCTTTCGATGCGGGATGCGACCAGGCGCATCGCCGCCTTGTACAAGCGGAGGCGTATCAGCGCGGAAGCCTCGGGATGGTCCTGGCGAGCCGCAAGATATTCCAACGCAACCCTCCTGGAGAAGTCTGGGTGCGACAATGCTGAGGACGGGAGCGGCCGTAGATCGTCGTCGCCATGTTGAGGGGTGTGCCGAGCGAAGAAGACAGCCCGGTGGTGGGAGAGGTCGTGCCGCCACTCCAGCGCGGAGCACCGGATGTGCCTGTCCAGCTGGTCCGCCAACGGGAAGTTTGCATATATACGGTCGAGGCGGGACCGCGCGGAGGCCGAGGCGTGGGTGAGCTCGCCTTGGAACCTCTCCTCGGGCGCGTTCTGACCAGCATTTCGAGGCACATCCAGCGGCGGCGACGAGGACGAGGGCCCCCCAGCAGGCCCCACACGGGGAACACGAGGGAAGGGTAGCGGTATGAGTGCCTTGTCCTCCTACAACCACCCTCCCTGCCGCCGCCGCAGCCCCCGTCGTCTGGCCTCAGCCCGCTCGCAGACGCCGCTCCCCCCCCCCCCCCCCGCGAAGGCCTCCCCCCGCGACGGCCCACTCTGGCCGTGTCTTTCGGGACCGCCCCCGAGGCCTCCGACGAAGTCCCCGAGGCCCCCCAGAGGACCCCACCCCTTCCCCGGGGGGGGGGCTCTCCGTCCCAGACCCACGTCTGATGGCCCGAGGGCCCGATGACGGGCCCCAGAAGCCGACACAGAGGAGAACTACGCCCATGGGAGGGAGGGAGGGAGGGAGGGAGGGAGGGGAGGGGAGGGAGGGGAGGGGGGGGGGAGGGAGGGAGGGAGGCTGAGACAAACACATCTGTCGGAGCAGGGCGAGTCGAGACAACGGCAACTCAGGAATCGGCCCCAAAATCCCTCCTGGGGTCCAAACCCCATCAGCTTCCCGAACTGCGTCCGGCCGTGGCGACGAGGCGGCCTCCTGAGATCCGGCGTCAAGAAACACATGCAACACCCTTAAAGTCTTCGGCTGGAGCCTCGAACCAAATAGGTCTGCTTCGAGCCAAATCGACATGTGATGGTCGCGGGGCCGAAGCACGGGAGCCCGTTGCGAAAAAATGGGACGCCAGGATCTCGGGGCGAAAACGCGTCGACGGAGATCTGGGCCGTCGTCGCCACGACGACGTCGTCGCCAGGCGCACGGCGACGCCGCCGCCGCCGCGACGACTGGAGCAGGGACCGACCGTCCAGGCATTCGTATGCGTACGTAGGCCTACCACGACACGTTCCCAGAGCCAAAGATGCTCTGGACAAAAGCAATGCTCTGAGAACGCATCAGCCGATGCATTCAAAGAAGACTCTCTCCGCCAGGAATGCTTCAAGAGCACCTCGTGCATGCCACAAGAGGCCATCAGGCCAGCCAGGACGCCCTGCCGCTGCTTGGACACGACGCGGAGGCCGCCGCAACAGGGCGGCCGCGCGGGGGGGCGGCGGCGCGGGCCCGCCAGGTGCGCGCCCTCCTGTGCCGCCCGCTCGCGCTCGCGCAGGAGACCGGCGAGCACCTGGGGGGTGGCGCGGGCGCGGCGGGGCAGCGCCAGGGCCCCGGGGAGAGGCTGTCGTGATCGCTGCTTGTCGGCCGTCGATGCAGCCTTCGTGGCCCCCGGGGAGACGACAAACGCACCCAAGATGCCCCAAACCGGTATGTGCGCCCTCTTGGCGTGCTTGAGGCCGTCGTTGGGCGCCAGGGCAAGGCTGTTCAGGAAGGGCCCAGGACCGTTCAGTAAACGCCAGTTGTCGGGGTCGGGGTGGTTTGTCCTCCCTTGGCCAGGAGCCTTTTTTCAGAGTGGGGGGGCCGAACGGTCAGTCACTGTCCCTTCGGCACGTGACTGGGGTGGATTTTCCGCGGCGGTGCGGATTGTGGTTGCGTTGTTGCGCTGTTGAGCGTTCATTTCCAAATGGAACTTGTTGTTGACCCTTCCCCTTCAGTGAACCTTTTTTTTCAAGTGGAGTGCCCCTCCTGGGGCTCGCACCATGTTTCCTCCAAAAGAAAATCTTGTGCCCCAGGGCCTCAGACTGTGTTGTTGCCCCCAGATTGCCACAACAACGGCTCCCACCTGACACCTTCTCAGAACTAATTGAAACATCTGGCTTTCGCTCGGGGCTCCCTTGCAATGTTTCCAAGAATCGCGCTGTCCCCTGGGACTTCCTTACCATTTATTAGTGGATCGATTTCGGCGATCTGGAATCGCGCTCTCGCCTGGGATGTCGTCGCAATGTGCTCGGGAAGGGCGCTCTCGCCTGAGGCTGGCTTGCGACATCCTCTTGCTAACCTTTCTTGCTAACCCCTCTTGTCCTCCATCTTCACCCTCCCTCCCTCTTGCCCCAGTCTCTCATCCCTCCATTCCTCCACTCCCTTCCTCCTCGCCCTCTCCCTTTTCCATTCTGTCTGTTCTTCCTGTTTTGCTGAAGGGGCCCAGGGACACACACATAAATACACACTAATCCCAGGATCCTCCACGTTTTGGTGTAGTTTCTGGGTATTCGTCTCCCCCCTCCCATCTTTTCCTAGTTTCCGGGGGATCGACGATTAATTGTGTCTGCGTGTTTCCCCCCCTCCCGATTTAAGCGGTGCGCCAATTATACGTGGCAGGAAAGGAAGGGGCTACGATGAAAGACGGGGCGGGCGGGTATCAAGGGCATGGGGAGCGTATGTTCAATGACGCGCGAAGGTCTGGAAGCGAACGATATTAAGCCAACTGCTGAACCGTAAATACTACACTGTAAATGTTGTTGAACACCGTATTTCCGCTCTGGCGCTATCGCCTCGGCGTCGGCAACATTTCCTTAGACAATCAGCCTCATGCTCGCGCGATTCGAGGCTCCATCGAAACAGCCCCCCCAATATCGGGTCGGGCGAAAAGGGGGGGATAGCAAAGGGGGGGTTTGAGAATCAGCTCACGTGGCTGATTTTCCCGGCGCCTCCCGTCGCCGCAGGCGGCTATGTAGCTATGTATCGAAGAATGGGCCCCTCGGTGAGGCCGAAACCAGCTGCATGCAGCAAATTTCGTAACCTCCCCTTTCCCAATTCCCCCCCCTTTCGTCCGGCCCGACAATAACAATAACGCTTCCGCTCGACACTTCCTCCTCTTCTACTCGGGACTGGGGCTCTGGCTCGCCGCCGAGAGCCAGCCCTCCAACACGCTGGGCGTTCCCGCTCGAGCCTTCCCTGCTTTCTGCTCCGGACGCGCGCTCCCGCCTCGGCGCCGCACGTGGCCCCCTGCAAACAGCGACGCTGCCGCTCAATTCTTCCTCCGCGTTCACTGGACATGGCCCATGAGGCCCTGAAGCTCACGCTTGCCGTCGCTCGGACGTCCATGTCCCGTGCATTTGTCGATTTCGTGCATGTTTTGTTGCTCGATGGTCCAGGATGGTCCTCGATGGTTCTCGCCGAGAAAAAACGCACGCGTCCGAGCGATGCCAAGCACGCCTTGGCATCACGGGGTGATTCCTGGGAGGTTCCGCGGCTGTCCGCCGCCTGGGCGTCCTGGCGCCTTCGCCTCGGCGCGCGGGGGCCCGCGGCAGCGACGCCGTCGTCGTCGTCGTCGTCGTCGCCGCCATCGTCGTCGTCGTCGTCGTCGTCGTCGTCGTCCTCGTCGTCGTCGTCGTCGTCCGTCTCCTCCTCCTCCTTCTCGTCCTTCTCTTCCTCCTCCTCCTCCTCCTCCTCCTCCATTTTTGCTCCTTGTGAATAATTCTTCCCTGTCGCACTCCGGGGCCGGTCGGAAAGGCGGGCCGGGCGTTTCTCCCAAGACTTCCTTACCGCTTATGAGCCTGAAGCTTAGCAACTGGCAGCCGCTTCACAAATAGAGATCGGGTCGGTTCCAGCAAATTGTTCTCGCTTTCGCGTCGCGCACATTCGTTCAAAAAAAACTGCAACACTTTAGCGGATTGAGGGCGGGTCGTTTTCAAATGTGGCTCTCGTCTCAGCGCCGCGCGCGTTCGGTTTGAACATTTCCAACAGTTTCACGGATTGAGGGCGGGTGATTCTCAAAATGTGTTCTTCGAACATTCGCTTCGAACATCTGCAAGAAGTTTTATGGACTGAAGGCGGGTAATTTTCAAAACCTGTCCCTCGCCTTCGAGCCGCGCACACTCGCCGCACAACGTTGCGAACATTTCGCGGATTCTCGTGGGTAGCCTTGCAGAAATGGTATGTTCGAACGGATCAACATTGTCTGGGCGCACCAATTACGTTGAATCGCGGTGCTGAAATCCCATGAATGGCGTTCTGGCGCGATCCAGGGTCGTCAAGACGCAACTGTCAGGTTGACTCGTGGCGTTGAAGTCCTAAGAATTGTGTTTTGGCGCGCTGCACGATTTCCGCACGATTGTTTCCAAACGGGGTACGTCCTTCGGTGGAACTGAATCTCTCTATGGGCCTATGAAGAGGGAGCTTGGTGGGAGGGTGTATCCCAACATCGTTGATGATTCATGGGTTTACACTGGTCCTCCTTCTCTTCCTCCTCCTCCTGCTCCAACATTGTCTTCCTTTTCCTCCTTTCTCTTCCTCCTCCTGCTTCCTCCTCTTCTTCTCCCCCTCCCCGAGTCCCAGAATTTCCTCCGACCCAGGCCTTTCTCAAAAATGCCCTGATGCCTCCCTCAATAGGCCACGAAACCCTCCAGTTCAGCTTCGGAGCGTCTCTCGAGGGCCTACAGGTTACCCACGGAGGCTTCGAAGCTTCGCTGAAAGACCCTGGACGCTCTCCAAAGAGCTCCGGAGGCTCTTCATGGTGATCCGGGAGCTCTCCCAAAGATTTTGGGGCCTCTGTCAGCGGTTTTGGGCCACCCAGGCGTGGTGACACTTAGAAGCAAGGAGCGAAGGCGATATACCTTCCGGGCTGGAAATGTTGAAGCGTTTCGGAAGAGGTGTTGTCAAGACCTCCTCGGGCGGGCGACCTGGGCAAGGGAATGCCGCACCCCTCTGTGCAAGATAATCCCCCCTATAGGGGAGGATATCATGATGGAAGCGCGCTGCAAACAGAATCACGCAGGATTCTGATCAAATGAATGTTCTTGTCGTCGCCCTCGCCCACGACCCCCCCGCGACCCCTCTGCGACCCACCCCGCGACCTACCCCGTGGCGGCGAACAAGGGAGTAAGCGAGAAGAGAAAGGCCCTCTCAGAAGGCGGCGGGGCTTCTCAGAAGCCCTCTGGCCTTCTGGGAGGTTTTCTCTGTCTTCTGGGAAGGCTTACAAATCTTCTCAGCCCGCCCCCTCTCATTCCCCCTCCGGGCTGACCACCGAACCCCGCGACCCACCCGCGACCCACCCGCGACCCACCCCGCGCCCGCCCCACCCTTTTTTAAACCGCAACCTCAGGGGGTGCTACGGTGTTACTGGCGCCCGTGACTGGCCCCGCCCCAACCTCTCATCCCCCCTCCTGCCTCGTCCTCGTCCTCGTCCTCGTCCTCCTTGTCCTCGTCCTTTTCCTCCTCCTCCTCCTCGTCGTCCTCCTCCTTCCCCTCCTCCTCCTGCTCTACCTTTACCTCTTCCTTCTTCCTCCCCGTCGTTTTCCTAAACCTCCTGGGGCGCGATGCCCCTTACCCTGGGTCCCGCCCCGGCACCTCTCCGAGCTCGCGCGCCTGCGACTCAGCGGCCATGCAGCGAGCCGCGAGCTCCTCTTGCGGAGGGGGGTGGCGGCGCGTGCGAGGGAGAGCGCGAGGGGGGCGGCCTTCTAAGAAGGCGGGGGGGCTCGTCGAAGGCAGGGGCCTCATTGGAAGGGCCTGGAGGCTTATGAGGACGACTTCTGAGAAGCCCCCAGCCACTTCTAAGAGTCCCGAGCCTTCCAGGACGCCCCCGCCTTCTTATGAGGCCCCCCCTGGCGCCCCTCGCCGTGTGCGCGCCGCCAAGTGTACACGTTGGCGCTAATGCACGTTCTGATGATCATGGAGAAGAGGAGGGGGAGGATGAAGAAGGGGAAGGAGGACAAGGAGGAAGAGGAGGAGAAGCAGGAGGAGAAGGAGGAGAACGAGGAGTAGGGGGAGGAGCGGGAGGTCGAGGAGAGGGGGGAGGAGTAGGAGTAGGAGGAGAAGGAGAAGGAGAAGGAGAAGGAGAAGGAGAAGGAGAAGCAGAAGGAAACGGAGAAGGAGAAGGAGAAGGAGGAGGAGGAGGAGGAGGAGGAGGATGGGGAGAACGAGGGGGAGGTGGAAGAAGAGGAGGGAGGAGGAGGAGGAGGGGGAGAAGAAGGAGGAAGAGGAGGGAGAGGAGGAGGAGGAGAAGAAGGAGGAGGAGGAGAGCAGGAATGATAAGGAGGCGGAGGAGGAGGAGGAGGACCGGGAATGAGGAGACGGAGGAGGACGGAAAGGAAAGGGGGGAGGAGGATGAAGAGGAGCAGGAGAAGGAGACGGAGAAGAAGAATAAGTATGAGGAGGGAGAGAGCAGGAGGAGGAGGAGGAGGAGGAGGAGGAGGAGGAGGAGGAGGAGGAGGAGGAGGGGGAGGAGAGGAGGAGGAGGAGGAGGAGGAGAGGAGGAGGAGGAGGAGGAGGAGGAGGTAGGAGGAAGAGGAGAGGAGGGAGGAGGAGGAGGAGGAGGAGGAGGAGAGGAGGAGGAGGGGGAGGGGGCCACCGGGGAGGCTTGTGGCTCAGGAGGCACGTCCAGGGGCCAGGGATGAAATTACTCGGTTTGGGCTTGAAGAAACGCATGCGAGTTAGATGTTTAGTTAAGCAGTCAGAGCGGATGACGATACGGTCGGCTGTCGCATTCCATGGCTCATGTCCTTTGGAGAGCAAGGAGGGGGGGTGCGGGGGAAGAGGAGGAGGAAGTCAGATCCAGAGCTGAGAAGGGGATGAGGAGGAGGATGAGGATGAGGATGATGATGATGATGATGATGATGATGATGATGATGATGATGATGATGATGAGGAGGAGGAGGAGGAGGAGGAGGAGGAGGAGGAGGAGGAGGAGAAGGAAGAGGAGGAAGAGGGGAAGGCGGAGAAGGAGGAGGAGGAGGAGGAGGAGGAAGAAGGAGGAAGGAGGAGGAGGAAGAGGAGGGAGGTAAAGAGGAGGATGAGGAGGAGGATGAGGAAAGGAAGGGGGGATGAGGATGAGAAGGAGACGGTGAAGGATCATAATAATAAGTAGGAGGGGGAGGAGGAGGGGGAGGAGGAGGAGGAGGGGAGGAGGAGGAGGAGGAGGAGGAGGAGGGAGGAGGAGGAGGAGGAGGAGTAGGAGGAGGGGGGAGAGGTGGAGAAGGAGGAGGAGGAGGGGGGGGGGCAACAGGGGAGGGCTTGTGGCTCAGGAGGCACGTCCAAGGGCCAGGGATGAAATTACTCGGTTTGGGCTTGAAGAAACGCGTGCGAATTAGATGTGTAGCTAGCTAGCTAGCTATGCAGTCAGAGCGGATGACGACACGGTCGGCTGTCGCATTCCCTGGCTCACGTCCTCGGGAAAACAAAGAGGGGGGGGGGGGGGGGGAAGAGGAGGAGGAGGAGGAAGTCATATCCAGAGCTGAGAAGGGGATGAGGAGGAGGAAGAGGAGGAGGAGGAGGAGGAGGAGGAGGAGGAGGAGGAGGAGGAGGAGGAGGAGGAGGAGGAGAGGGGCGGAGGAGAAGGAGGAGGAGGAGATCCAGGAGGAGGAGGAGGAGGAGGAGGAGGAGGAGGTAATGAGGAGGAGGTAATGAGGAGGAGGTAATGAGGAGAAGGGGGAGGAGGAGGAAGAAGAGGAGGAGGAGGAGGAGGAGGAGGAGGAGGAGGAGGAGGAGGAGGAGGAGGAGGGAGCTGGATTCAGCAGAGCAGGAGCAGGATGAGCCGCAACAGTCTTACCAGGCGTGTCGAGGGCCCTGCCCAATCAGAGCGCGCGCTAGAGGTGTGCGTGCTGTGCTTGGCGGAAAGGCGCACTGGGCACACTTGACAAGCAACGTCATCTGGGGACCTCCGATGAGGATTTTTCCCCGCGGGAGGTTACTGTCCTGCTGGGATGGGTCTATGCCCCCCCGCGTTCGTAGGGTCGATTGACGTCTGGGGGGCCCTCTTGTTTAACTCCTTCGCCGCTGTAGAGTGCTCTTGCCCCACTCTCTTCTCAAGTAGATGAAGGCTGCCGGCGCCCGCCTTCGAAGGTGGGGCACTCCTCATCAGACCGCGGGTGCTCCACTCTCGCGAGCAAAGCACAGCCCGCAAGTCGAGCAGAAAGATCACAAGCACATGGCTGTGGGCACGGGCAGTACGGTTCTGGTGGATCACCCTGTCCGCGACCCTCGTGCCAGGCGGCGCTGGAAACGAATTCGCTGACCTCAGCCTGCGCAGGCACACATGGGGAGGACAGCCACTCGGCCACCTCCTGGCGGTTTGCCCCACGGCTCTCCAGACAGCGGCGGCACGAGAAGCGCGAGCCCTCCTTCCCTCAGCCGCACCACATCGTGGGAATTCCTGGGTATCCCCAGGTCGAAAGCTTCGGCTTGGGCGAACTTGGGCTTGGGCGGCGCGTGCTCAGCTCTACCAAGGGCCTGGGGATCGCAACGCGTACAGTCATCGAGCACCGCCATCTGCCTCTACCGAGCCCTACTCGCGAGACGTTCACCCTCGCGTATCTGATCAACTTCAGCATCCGACAACTTGAATTCAAACGCGGCAGCCTCGGCCTGGCGATCGACCGTATCATTGGCCTGTCTCCAACGCTCGGGTATGCCTAGAAACTCAGCTCTGTCCTCGGACGCGTGGGACTGGACCTTCTGGGTAGTCAGCTGCACAAACCCGAGAGGCTTCCCAAAGGCGCCGCAACAAATCCCGATTGGTCCGAAGGCGCTTGGATCGGGGTCGGTTGACCCGTCGAAGAACGCAACTCGAACCCGTGATGAAATTCAAGGATCTACCCGGGCTGGCGCAGACCTCCACCCACAGAACTAAAGCCAGCAACTCCACACGATGGATGGTCTGCATCGGACCTGGTAGGCCTCCAACCAACTCTCGGACGGCTTGGACCTGATCCCGCACAAGGCTCGCGCACGCCTCGGCCAGCGTGCAGGAACTCCAGGAGCAACCGCGGAGACTTGGTTCCTGATAACGCTTTTCCCCCCCCAACCGTCACCCGCTCCCCGCTACTCCACTCTATTGTCTGGTCCGCTGCCCCCCGCAGCATAGGACCATTCATACTCAAGATGCGGGATGACGTCGGTCCATGCCGATGGCATGAGCCCACGTCACCCGAAAGCTGGACAAGCTTGCCACTCACCTTTTGCACGGGCCTCGAGGTCAGCTGCACCACTGCACTCCTGGAGCATGCAATGGACAGCACAACCCCACGCCCAGTGAAAGCCCGTATGAACAGCGCGGGCAGGGTAGCGCTGGCACAGGGCTTCGGATTCTTCAAGCATGCCTACATCGAGCATCCTGGCGCGGCACCAGGTCGCGGCCGTGGCCACCGCAAGCAGGGAACCTCGGAGCCTGAGGGCCTGCTCGGAGGCCTTACGATCCGGGGCACACAACCACGTGTGCAGCGAGTACCTGTCGAGGCCACCCTCGGCCCGAGACCATTGGACGCGGGCGGCCACACGACGCCACAACCTAGCCCAGACTGTCAGCAGAAGTTCACGCACAGAAGTGTCAAAGTCAATGAAACCATGGTCTGGGAGCTCGAGCCTCCAGACACTCCCCGTAGGAGCCAACCACTCCATGCTTTGGGGGTCCTGCGGGAGCCAGCCATGATCCTGGAGAGCCGCCAGAATCCCCGAGATTGGCCCTGAAACCCTGGCCCACCTACGGCTAGCCTTGGCCTGCAGGATCCTCTGGGCCACCTTGGGCAAACTACGGAGGAATCTCGCCCGAACATGCACAGCGAAAGAGGGGTCGGCAATGAGCTCGGAAAAACTCGTGAGCTGGCGCAAGACTAGTTCGACAATTGGCAGACGATGGCCCAACTCTGGAGCAAGATACGTGGTGAGACGCCGGCTTTCTGTCCCCCCCCCCCGAAAACCGCATCCATGGCCGACAGGGTGCGGAAAACAACCGAGGGTGCCATGTTGTGGACCAAAACTCCATACGGGAATCTAGGGCAGGGGGCATCAAAACAATATTCTCCCTGAAACGGCGCAGAAATCCGACCGTGGACATGCGCTTTGCAACTGTTTCAAAGCTGTTCGCTACACTTTGACCGCGCTTCTTATGGGATCTGCGACACGAGCCCCGATCAAGCCCCACATCGGCGACAGTGCGAGCTTTCCTGTTGCGAAGCCAGCTTTCAGGCTCCCTTTCAACATCACGAGACACGCGCAAGCGAGAGGGGGCCGATTGAGATCGTCAGCCCACTGTGCCGAGGATACACCTCGAGAAAAATAAGCAGCATGCACACGCTCCAGAGTATCGCAAATGACCGCTCTAGCAAAATTCTTCGCGTCTCCATCGCCTGTGAGGATAGTCGCCGTGGGCTCGATCGGGCTGGAAATCGCACCTCTCGCTTTGATGCAGCGGGGGGCGAGACGCACCAGGGGTAGCCACACGGAGACATCAGGACAGTCCAGAGCCAGGGCGGCTTCCAGGGCCAAAACGAGGTCCACATAATCGCAAAACTCGGCGAACTCCCACATCAGGCTACAGTGAGTAACACAGTAAGGCCTCAACGGTCTCATCAAACAAACGCCCTCATCATACCGCACCTTTGCGCTGAACTTTCTCGAGTTGCCTACTCCTAGAAGCCGGCCTCCCGACCACACCAAGACGCCCCGACCGACGTCCGCAGGCGCGCAAGGGGAAGGGCGATAGCGACACCGCTCTGCTCCTCTCTCTCTCTCTCTATCTGTATTTAGCTTGCTCTCTCTCTCTCTCTCTCTCTCGTTTTTTTTTTTTTTTTTTTTTTTTTTTTTTTTTTTTTTTTTTTTTTTTTTTTTTTTTTTTTTTTTTTTTTTCTCTCTCTCTCTCTCTCTCTCTCTCTCTCTCTCTCTCTCCCCCATTGAAGGCTTGGGCATCATGGCTTCCAGGACCAGGAGACGTATCCACGGCCAGGCCTCTAACTGCTCACACCTCGGGAACAACTCGGCGAGCTCGGCGAGCGACTCCGCAGGGGCCGCTCTCAGGCCCGCTGGGCCCAGGTTGTTGCTCCCTCGCCCCGTGGCCTGCCGAATGTCTCGAACCAAGCTCGCGATGTCGGACGGGTCGATCTGCTGGTAGGCGTCCTGATCGTCAGGCAGCTTCCTGCACCGTTTACGCAGGCGACGTGCTGGCTCGACGTTGACTGCACCCGACCAGCGACCAGCCCACTGCTGCCTCTTGATCTCCGTCACGGTGTTGCCCTCTGAAGGAAGAGGAGGAGGAGGAGGGGTATGAGGAGGAGGAGGAGGAGGAGACCAGCGTACCCAGAGGTCAGCTCCCCGTGCCTAGCACGGCGCCTGAGGCAGCATGGGCACGCCTCCTGTCGAAGCTGTTGTAGCTGAGGCCGCCGTAGCTGCAGCACACGATGTGCGGCGGATAGCCGTCGAATTTATATCATTCACATTCAGAGGATGCTGAGAGCAGGAGGGAGCGGGAACGCAGGAGGGGACCGAGGCGAGGCGCAGAGAACGGATAAGGAAAATGGGCAACTGGGGCCTTTTCCGACGGCGCTCACACATATGGGGCAATCTGAGGGTGCCCCCAACTCCTGTACCAGAACTCGTGCCAATAGAAGAGGATGGAGTAGCACTGCATGACAATGACGACGAAATTCTCGTCAGAGGCGAAATCGAAGGGGAGGGTCCCGCCATCCGCGTCGGACAGGGCACAAACGATGAACCAGCAGCCGTCGAACTCGGCCAGGTCGGGGAAAACGAGCACGGGGGAGTAGCGAAGAGGGAAGCGATCCGTGACCAAATCGGCGAAACTCGTGACGATGGCGCAACTCTCCGAGACGGCGCAACTCTCGAGGACGGCGTGCAACCCTCGAAGACGGCGCAACTCTCGTTGACGGAGACACTCACGATGACGGCGCAACTCTCGAAGACGGCGCAATTCACAATGACGGCGCAACACTCGACGTCGGCGCAACTCTCGAAGAAGGCGCAACTCTCGATGTCTGAGCCCTTATTTCCATCAGAGGCGGTCGACCAACGTACATGAGACGAGATCTCGCAACTTACTCCAGAGCCCTTATTTAAAACAGAGGCGGTCGACCTCCGAACTCGAGACACAAGCTCGCAACTTACTCCAGAGCCCTTATTTAAAACAGAGGCGGTCGACCTCCGAACTCGAGACGCAAGCTCGCAACTTACTCCAGAGCCGTTATTTCCATCAGAGGCGGTCGACCTCCGCGTTCTAACGCCAGTGGTCGCAGGGCTCGAGGAGCACCCTGCAACCGAAACCTGGAGGAGGAAAGAAGCAGGGTCAACGTCACCATCTCCGTCGGCGGCATCGCCATCTTCGGGATCCACTGCTGAGACTAGTGAGGCAAAGTAGCGCACCGACCCGTTGGCAGCGACGATGGGCAGGGCCTCGTCTCCATTGCTGTCCACAAGGAAGTCACGAACACGGTGTGGCGCAGCGGGTCCCAAGTATTGCCTCATCTCTCTGCGAATCTCACGAAGGGCCTGGAAATGTCGATCCACCATCTCTTCCCAGAGCCCGTGCCGCGTCAAGGAGTTACGCGGGTCATTCAGCCACCGAAAGTAATCTACAATATTGAGGCGCCCCTCGGTAGAGGTGTCCCAGGCAACCATGCAGATATGACGAGCGAGTTCGTCGAGAGTACCACTCCAACCAGACGAATCCACCCATTCCATCGCCTCAAATTTGGCACGCACGTACGGGATGCACCACATCAACCAGTCGGCACGGCCGCTCTCGGAGTCATCCAGGCGCAAGACCCAGCGTGTAGCCCTCGGTGCAATACGTTCGCCAAAGACAACAGGTGGTGCATGCTCCACAGAGGAAGAATGTGGATGGCCCGCCAGACACAGGATAGGAGTACCAGGTGACGGCGTCGACTTCGACGTGGTGGCATCGCCCAGACACCGCAACCGTTCAGGAAGAGCATGGTCCTCTCGAACAGGAAGCCCACCAGCACGAAGGCGTTCGACACGCTTGATGGTCGCACGATATTCACGCTCAAGCCGTGTAACATCCGCCTCACATGCGGTTGGGACAGTCATCGACGTTGCATGGACCGCGGAGAGCACCACTGTGGCGGCCAGCGGCCACGAGAACATGGATGCCGCAGGTCGCGGCGAGGTGGCAGCGGAAACGGACGCCCGCACGTTGACGCCCTGCCTTGGGGGCAGGGCCTCGCACTGAGCCAAAGCGCCAGCAGGCAGGGACACATAAGACTCTGGATGGGGAGCAGGTTGGCCGACTTCATCAGAACTATGTCTCACATCGTCGTCACACGGGGTGGGTGGGACCAGGTCAGGGATGGGGGCCGCAGCGTCTGAACTCAAACTGGAGGTGGACGAGGAGGTGAGCACATCCCACTGAGGCTGCCTTCGGCGGATCGTCTGGACAGCAGGAGGAGGTTCCCACCGTTTCAACTTGGCTGAAGGTCTGGCCAGACGAGAGGTGCGGACGGCGGCCTCAACATAGCCACGCAACTGACGAGGAGTCGACACTAGCGCACCTTGCCGAGCATAGTTGAAGACCTGGTAATAGACATAGAGAGCTTCGAAGTGGTCAGGGTGGGGGTGGGTAAGGCCAAGACGCTGAGCCAGGGGACGAGGCAGGGCACGCTGTAGACCTTTGCTGACTGCCAGGTATAATTTAGGGCAGCGTAGATAATGTTGCAGCCGATCAGGGCCAGGGCATCCGAAACGACAACGAAGTTTACCCCTCGGGTGGATAATCCTATGAGATGTCAGCCATCCATGCCCCCAAGTCCGTAAGGCTGCCATAGCCCAACTTTGCGGAACCAATGCCAGAAGCTCCTGAATAGCGGGCCAGTGGATCAGGTTGAGGAAGGGGAGGTAAGCTGTGAATAACGGGGTTAAGTGGCGAATCAGCATAGCATGCAGAGGTTTGTGCGTACACATGTTCTGACCCAGCGAGCGGGCAGCCGCACGTTGCAGCTTGGGCCTTCGTGTCGTAACCTGAGCTTCCTCACGCATGGCAGAGCGAGCGGCGACGAGTAGGGGCTCCTGAGACCTCACGTGGACCAGCTCAAGGTGTTCGACGAACGCAGGGGATTTCCAGAAAGCTGGATAAACACGGGAGCGATCCATAGCAGCCAAGGGGATAGCATCAAACTTCCCTTCCACCACCTCTCTGTGCCAAATCGAAGCCGTTTGTCGCAGTAGCCGTAAGTATTCCTCAAAGCCCTGGAAGGTGTGAAAAGCAGCACGAAGGTGAGCAGCAGTAGCATGGGCAGCCCACGATGGGATCTGAGGACCACCCCAGGCCGGGAGCTCCAGGATCGATTCATTCGAAAAGAGGCCGAGGGGAGCTCGAAGAACTTGGGCGATAGCACCACGCTCAATGGGCAGGAACCATTCGGGCATAGGGAGGAATTGGGCTACATACGCCAAACAAGGGTAAACCCGCGTGCGGTACAATATACAATTCGTACAGACTGACGCAACCCCACGTCCCAACATCCGAGAGCGAGAACGTGCCTTCATGAGCGGGCCCCTCCAGTTCATGTCGACCGTCGCATCAGGGCCCAAGATCATCCCAAGATAAAGCAACCACCCCTCAACAGCAAAGCCTGACCAGTCACTCGCGATGGAGGCCAGCTGGGTCTGGGTCATGGTTTTCAGGGTTTCTGTCATGCAGCCGACGAGGGGGACCAGGGTGCACTTGCTGATCTTAATCTTGAGGCCCGCAATCTTTTCCATGACACCGAGGACCCGCACCAGGATGCGCAGAGAGGCAAGCTCATACAGAACAGCACCTAGATCATCGGCACAGGCACGGCATATCCCCAGCTGACGCTGCTCGATACTCCGCTCGAGGTCGGCCAGCATGGGGGAGGAGGCGAGAGCGTACAAAGACCCCGAGAGACCACAGCCTTGGATGATGCCCGAGCGGATCCAGAAGATGGTCGTGTAGCATCCCCCATCCTGGACCACACCTTCAACAGCCAAATACATCCATCCCACGAAAGCGAGAATCTCGGCGGGGAGCCCAAGAGAGCCCAGTAGTTGTAGCAGGAAGGACTGCGACAAGCTCGGGAAGGCCTGCCCGTAGTCGAACCCGACGAGGACAGGGGAACGACGCACAGCAAGGGGATGTTGTGATGCAAGCCGAGCATGGACATCCAGCTCAAGCACGTTATAGCAAAAATTTCGTCCTCTAATGAAGCCTCTCTGGGAAGCGGGTGCAACGGCTTGGACGACAGGCTCGAGGACCCTATTCATGACCGAGCTCAGGATCTTAACGTCGGTGTTACGCAGCCCCAGAACCCGTATCTTATCGGGAGACCGAGAACAAACCCCAGACGGCAGATCTGAGTCATCAGCACCTTTGGGGAGGAACGCCTGGAGGGTGACGCTGGCAGAGGCGAACAACGACTGACCTTGGCATAGCCATCCGAACATTCTGGCCAGGTGCTGGGCGCCATAGTCGCACGCCGACCAGGCAGCGTAGGGCAGCCCGTCGACACCAGGAGCAGAGTGACGAGCACGCCTGAGAACCTTACGGAACATTGGGGTCAGAGGACAGTGCAGGTCGATGTCAGAGGCCTTGGTGAGGAACCTATCGAGGTACATCTGGGTCATGACAGGGTGGGGCTCTTTCTTGGAGAAGACAGGGGTCCAGTAGGCCGCCAGGGCCGCAGTGCGTTCCCGAACCTCTGAGATGGGGCCCTCAGGGGTGTTGACCGCGGACAGAATCAGGCGCTTCGAAAACGGGGCCCATATGGAGGCCTTCCTCTCCATAGCTCGCAAGAGCGTGGCCGAATGAGGCCGCCAGGCAGATGAGGAGCCTGAGGGAGCACGATCAGCAGCAGCAGCAGCAAGCTCTTTTTCGAAGACCAACCGATGTACTCCAGCAGCCCACTGCTCGAAGGACGGGGCGTGGCGCAGCGAGACGACCTGGCCGTCGACCATCAGGGCGTCGGCGGCGTGCTGGGAGGTCTCGATGAGCTTGAGGGCAAGGGCAGCGTCTTGACGCCATACCGCTCGTGCTATCCCACGAGCAACCAGCTGTAGCGTCCCAGGCAGGTCAGGGGCCGAGAAGAAGAGGATGTCGCGGGCCTCCCTGGCGGCCTCCTTCATCATGTACTTGTAGTGCTCTGTGGCCACCGGTGGGCTCCATCGGAGCAGATCCTCATCACCATCAGCAACCATTCCTCGGAGTCGGCGCTGGAAGGCAACAGAGGTGAAGATGTGCTTGGGGATGGGCCGCTCAGCAGCGGGACGCGTACCCCGAAGACGCAGCCGAATCGAGAGAGCAGCATGATCCGAGATGCCCATGGAGCACAGGTGCTCAGGCGTGTCCACAGTGTTAACCTCAGTCATGAGCTGACACATCATCCAGCCTGTGGCAGAACAGAAGAAGCGGTCGATGATGTTGATGGAGTTGGTGAACTTGCAGAAGTGGGTCGCCGCTTCCGAGTTAATCTCCATCATCTTGCCAAGTGTAGCCGCCCAGATTGGAGCATGTACTTTATGATCATGTGTCAGCTGCCGCTGTACCCCAGTAGGTCGGTGAAAGATAAGAGAAGAATCGTAACTGTAGTTGAGATCCCCCAAGACAACCACAAAGTACGAGAGTGGGTCATCAGCAGCACGACGCAGAGCACAACCGATCTGCTCACAGACAGATTGTACCTCCCCCTTGGTCAAGCCGTGATTGTGAACGTTGAAGATCACCAGCTGTGTCTGCCCAAGTGCCACATCAACACGAAGCACCCTGCCTCTGATCAGAGGTACCGCACAGCTACTGACCGAAGTAGATGAGAAAGGAGGAAGAATGACTGCAACTCCCCCAGAGCCGCGGACAACCTCGCCGTCGTCATCCTCACAAAAGCTGCTGTGGACAATGGCCGTGGAAGAAAGCCTTGCCACAAAGTCGTTCAGCTCAAATCGATCTGCATGCACTTCTTGGAGAGCCAAGATGGATCGCCCAGGTTGCAGTTTACTTAGGTAAGATAGCTTAGGCGAGGCCTTCGCCCCACCAAATTGGAGAAGAGCGCGTGCATTCCAAGTCATGAATGTGAGGCTGGCTGTGATCTCTCCGCCGACCTGCCCCACTGGAAGCACAAACATATCGGTAATGGCGTTAAAGACACCACTGGGTGGCCGTCGGCGCGGCGGTGATGTTCCGAATGGCATCCTGGAGGTCACGACGGTCCAGGCCGAGGGCGCGGATCCCCACGTCGTTCCAAGAAAGCTCAGGAGGTTCATCGCCTGGCCGGGGGACAAGACGCAGGATGTCGGTGTAGTCAGACTTGAGAACACTCCGCTCCCGATCAACAAACCACTTTCTCTGGCTGTCGAGCTCCATGAGGGAAGAGCGGACCTTACGAAGGAGCATCTCACCACGAACTTGTTTCGGCGACTTGTCAGGACCAAAGTGAAGACGGGCTGGGTCAGCACCTTGAGCTGGGCACTGGAAGACCCGCCATGCTCCGTCCGACTTGAGGTTAGCGAGGGCCTTTTGCACACGTCGGGAAGCCAGCCCGATCGGCCCAGAGAAGCACGCGGCAAACTTTTTGGCGGGGAGCGGCGTGAGGGCTTTGATCGTGTACGTGTCGTCCTCAGAGAAGTTGAGCTCGCCCATGAAGGAGTTGACCACTTCACGGACGCCAGCCAAACCGACGAGCTTGGACGAGACCACAATGACCTGCGTCGGATCGATCTCGCGGTCGAAACCAGGCGGGGCAGGGGGACGCGACGGGAGTTGTCGGTCCAGCTCATTCTGGCGGCGTAGCTCCTCGACCTGCTTCTGCAGCTCAGCCAGTTTGGCAGCCTGGGCCTCGATGTCCCGCTCAGTGTAGTCGACACGACGGCATAGGGCATCATGCTGCTCCTGAAACTGGCGCTGCATGGTATCAAACTGCGGACGTACCGATGCCATGACCTGCTGATCAATGGAGGTGTGCTGCGAGGAAAGCTGCTTCTGAAGTGTGGCGAGCGTGGCAACGATGGGAGCGTTAGACTGCTGTACAGAATTGGTGATGGCCGTGGTAACGATATTGTCGAACTCATTGCGCAGCTGCATGAACCTCGCGGAGATGTCGGCATGGTAGAAGGCCCGAGTGAAGGCGGCATGCTCCTCCTCTTCGCCACAATCAGGAGCACCACCAGCAGCAGCCTGAGCACGCGGGGCAGCGCCCGCCCCCGCCGCCGCGGCCCAGGGGTCGAAGAGCCCAGCAGCAGGGCCCTGCGGGGTGGCGTTCGGGTCGGGCCGCGCCTCCTGCGACGGGAAGGTAGCGGCCATCTCGAGCTCTGCGGCCACTTGTGCACGCTTGGTGTCGTCCCATTCGTCCAAGGGCATAGCCTGAGCACCCCGAGATGCTCCCAGAGCCGCAGGGTCGGGGCCCCGATGCGAGGCAGCAACACCAGGAGACATAGGGACGTCCCCGCCAGCGCCACGAGCGCGGCCAGCACGGCGAGCACGGCGAGAAGGCTCAGGAGCAGGACCAGCGTTGCCGTGGGAGGAAGGCCGGGTGCGAGCGGCACGACGGGCACCTCGGCTGCCACCGCTCCGAGAGGCAGAGCGGCGGGGCTCCTCAGAGGAATCACGGCCACCAGAGGAAGCAATCTCCGTATCAATATCCTCACCCCCATCGAGACGATGTACAACATGGTGCGGGCGGTCGCAGGCGGCAGGGCCCATGGCGGCTCAGCGCGCGTCGTTGTAGCCAAAACTGGGAGCGTGCTGTGGCGCACGGCAGGAAGGAGAGAGGCGTCCTGGCCTCGGAAGGTTCGGGCCTCCCTGTCGCCTGCAACAAGGCTGAAGCCCCAGGGCAGGTTTCAACCTTGAGCCAAAATGGCTACGGAGGAGGAGGAGGAGGCGGAGGAGGAGGAGGCGGAGGAGGAGGAGGCGGAGTTGGATGAGTTGGAGGAGGACGAAGGGGAACGGTCTGGCCACTCCTCGTCTGGCCCCGCGACTTCTGTTGCGGCCCCCTGGGTATCGTGCTCGGGCCCGCCGCGGCCCCCAGATCGGCGATGGAGGTTCCGCGGCCGCTTGCGGCAGCAGGGGGGGGATAGGTAGGAGCAGGCGTGCTATCCGCACTGTGTTCCAGGCTTTCGTAACGTGCCAAACGTACTGGTCACCAGCACGGGTCATCATGGCCGAGCTGCGGTGTACGAGCACCGTCAGTCTGGCGATCGATGCTCCACAATTATACCCAAGACGCTCGAACGACAAAGCAGCATCGGGTCGACCAGAAGACTAGCGCAGCCCGCTTCATAACGACTCCTTGTTTTTTGTTTTATATGTTGCCCACAAGTGAGCTCAATCCTCAGACGGCTGTCGAAGACGGATGTCACAACATATTCAGTAGATCTCAATTCCAACTGCTTCACCAATTCAGCAGCCATGCAGAACACATCCTTCATGGAAGTCTCTGCCAACGATGTCCATTGCCGCATGTCAGAGGCAGTCTGCGTGCTGGTTCGAAGCCAAAATGAGCACCTCTGCCACAGTGCTGACAGCGACGGCGACCAACCTTCTTTACGTTAGAGGCCTGCTCCTAATTATTGCGAAGTCATGGGGCGTCGCAAACCATGCATAACTGTCAGAGTCATGGCAAAATGAAGGCGACAGCTGTACTACAATGCTGACGGCCGCGATGACCAGGCATAGTTAAATTGTGGGCAGGCTCATAGTTACTAATGGGATGTCGTGGGTGACGCAGAACTGCCAGAGGCATGGAATAAGTAAGGCGTGGCTGCGCCAAGTGCGGCACTGCTGGCTCAATTTGAGCGCAAGTCAGGCCTAGGGAACCGACGAACGACATAGACATAAAAACTCGGAGGTCCGCGCGGATTCCTTGGATCCGCGCTGGGCCCCCCCTCCCTGGCGCGCGGAGCGCGCCAGGGGCGCCGCCGGAGGCGCCGCCGGGGGGGGGGGCTCAGCGCCGATCCGAGGAATCCGCGCGGACCTCCGAGTTTTTATCTTTGTGTATCCTGCTACATGGCCCGCTCCAAAATTCCCGAACGCAATCAAATGTGCATCTCTTGGAGGGCTGACCTTTCCTTGAGCAGGGACCGACCGTCCCGGCATTCCTATAGGCCTACCACGACATGTTCTTAGAACCCCCAAAGGTTCTAAGAACAACAACCAGGCTCTTGGAACATAAACCCGATGTGCTAAAACAAGACGGTTCCAGCCAGAAATGTTCTAAGAACCATTTGTGGAAATCACACAGAGGTTCTTAGAACATTGTTCGGTCGGCCTATGAGCACGCCAGGACGCTTCGCCACTGCTTGATTTCCTTCGGCCTGCTCCCGCCGATCTTCCGCCGGCTTCCGCTGGCGGAGCAGCCCTCCTGCCACGTCCGCCGGCCTTCCGCCGCCCTGCCGCCGAGGAAGAGAAGGCAGCCTCTCGACCCCTCGAGGGCGAGGCCCCCTCGCAGGAGTTGGGAAAAACATCATCAGCTCGGATTTCTGTTGGATTTCCGTTGGGTCTGCGCTGATTCCTGAGGATCGTCATCATACTCGGAGGCCCGCGCGGACTTCTGTTGGATCGGCGCTGGGGCCCCCTTTCGGCGCCTCCGGCGCCGCCCCCACCTCCGGAGGTCTGCGCGTGTGGCGCTGCCCTTCTTCGATTTCTGGGGCGCCCCGGAATGTGCGCAGGCCTCGAAGCAGGCGTGAGCCTGCCCAGCAGGTGCCGGGGCGCACAGGGCGTGCGCGAGGCTCCTGCACGCGGGCGGTGGCGGTGGCCGTCGCCTCGCGCGCCTGCGGGGGGGGGGCGGCGGGGGGGCCACGAGCCCAGTCAGGCAGGCGGGGTCGGCTGACTTCACGAGCGGCGAGCGCATCCACATCCACGCCCTCGCGGTCTGGATTCCTGGGCGCGATCTCGCGGATGCGCGGTCGCATGGATGCCGTCCGCGAGGGGCATCTGCAGAGGAAAACGCCTTGTATCCACCTGGCTCGCGGCCCAAGGGCTCGGTCCGCGAGGACGTGGATGTGTATATGCTTTCCGCGAGGACAGCCGCCAGGTGCGTAACAGGACCAGGGGGCAGGGGCTTGCCGAGCGCGCGCGCGCGCGCAAGCAGATGCATCATTTGTCTTCCCCTGCCTTGCAACAGAAATCTTCGACCGACCATGATAACGCATCGTGCACATAGACAAGCGCGCGTGCACGTTGCTCTGCGCACGTGTCCACAAGTGCGCTCCATGCGCGTGCGTACATCTGTCTACGCACGTGGACTTGCGTGCATGTGTACTTGTGCACGCGCATGTACGCTCGAGGGTGTATGTGCAACGTAAGCTAGCAGCACAGTCAACTACCCGCTCACTTCCCAAGCACATGTGGTTACTGGGATAAGAATGCCAATGGTAACTTCCCATGTGTATGCTTTTGCACGTCGCAAACGCTATGTGTAGTTGCAGTGTCAGGCGTGCGCATTTGGACAGGAATGCGTGACTGTACTCGTGCATGCTTATACTTAACTCGGTTGGCATGCACTGCTCAATTACTAGAATTGGTCTGCCGGCGCGTGCAGGTAGGACTATGTCCACAAGCATCGACATTTGATGTACGCACGCATGAACACGTGTACATGGATATTAATGGGTATACAACGGTCCTGTCTGGCCTAACGATACCAGGGCCATGCGTCCACTAACATCCTATGTATATGTTCAAAAGTGCAGCCCCCAGAGGACGTACTCATGCGTGCCTATGCGAGCTTGTACACAAGCGTATGGGCGTACACGCGTATGATCGAACCTGTGCGTGTCTATGCCTCCCGATGATGTCATCCGCGGTGTCCTCCTCCTCATAATACCCTCTCCCTTTCGGTGTTCCTCCCTTGCGTCCCGCCTTCTCGTCAATTTTGCCCTCCTCATCCCCTTCTTGCTACTTCTCCCTCCCCGACGGCGCGACTGCACGGAAAACGACGAAAGCTGGAAGGCGGCGACTACGCCCGGACCTCTCGCAGGTCCTGCTCCAGCTTCTGGCACCGAGCGTCCCGGCTCGCCTCTCTTGCGGGCGCCCCCTCCCGTCCCCCGAAGGGACGACGACGACACGTACAGTCGGACCTAGGCCAGAAGAACATTCCTCAAGAGCATGAGACCCTCCGTCGGCCAAAACACACAGAACATCCAAGGGCACCCTCCCCAGGATGCACAAGAACAGCCAACATACACGAAGAACGCTAGGGGAACCCTCCCCGGACCGACCTCGATCTTAGACCTCGGTCCGACTCTACAGTCGGACTCGATTGGACAGGACACGCGAGAGGACACAAGACCCTTCTGAGGGCCACAATGCCGCAGGAATGTCCGAGGCATGGGCCACGAGACACAGGACACAAGGGTACCCTCGATTTGGCAGGGTCGACCGACTAATCTGGGCCGACTGTACTCGAAGTCGAGCGAAGGAGCATGGAGTCCCTCGCTCCGCGAGCGGAGGTCCTGAGACACTGAGGCGGGAGGGCGCGCATGCAGGAGAGGATGTGGCGGACCGGTCGTGATTCCAGCAGGCCCGACCCGAGGCGCCCGCTTGTCAAGGCCGGCCCACCCGACCCGCCCGTCAGCGCTCCCCCGCCCGGCACGCCCGTGGGTGCCCGCCCGTCCGACCCGCCCGCCCGTGGCGGTCCGCCCGCCCGACCCGCCCGCCAGGGCCCCCCAGCGTCGTCCTCGTCGCCCTCGTGGTTGTCCTGCTGGATTGGACAGAGCTCTGGGGGCCTCTTGGGGGGGCGGGTCTGAGCTGCCGTCCGGGGCCTTCATGGCGCTCTCGGTTAGGTTGTTCCAGTCTTGGCCAACATCCACGGAAACCAATTTCGGGCTTCGGTCGGGGACGCACTGACCAGGGTCGATCCAGACCCGGGTCAATCAGGCCTTGCATGATCCTGCACAAGAGCCCGGGTCACTGCAGCCCTGGCTCTGCAGGATCCCGCAAGACCTGGCGCTCTGACTGACCCCCGTTTGCGTTGAGCCCCGTCTCTAGACTCTAGGCCCTCGATCCGGGGCAGTCCACAAACGATTAGGGATGGACAGTTGTCCGTAGGGCCTTCGTCGAGAGGTATTTGGGGGCTCACGCGTCGAAAACAGCGAAGCGCTTGCTATCTGGGGAGGGCCCGGGGAAGCGAGGCGGGGCCTCAGAGGTCCGCAGCGGGGCCCCCGACAGGGGATCTGCGTTCCCATCCGGGAGCGAGGGTCGAGCAGGGGCAGCAGCCCGGGCGACGGACGGGGTGCAGCAGCGGCGGCGGGGACGTCGGTGCGATGCGAAGCGTCGTGGCGGGGTGCGACCGCCCAGGGGGGGGGCGACGGAAGCCCAGAGGTGAGAGGAGGGATAGAGGCCTCCCAGATGGGGTCGGAGCAGATGGGGTCGGAGGATCGCGCGCCGCATCGCCGATACATCGGCGACACAACGCCGATGCATCGGCGACATCGGCGATGCATCGGCGACGCTAGCGAGGAGACAATCGGGCTCCACATCGATCCGCATCGCGGAGGCATCCACGATACGGCGCGATCCTCCGACCCCATCTACTCGGACCCCATCTAGGAGGCCTAGATGGACTGGACCTGCTTCAAATGATCAACTGGTGTACAGTAGGCACATACGATCAGCGCTCGTGTTGAGAGAGATCTTGGGGCACAGTCGTCGTCGATCTTTGAATGTCCTACGGAACCCTCGCGTTTCTGTGCATCCTTGGGCCATTGGGGGATACAAGACCTTTCAATGGAAAACCAATTGGCAAGTCCATATCTTGTCGGGTGTGCCTTCTGTATGCCCGAAATATCCCAAACAAAGGGCTCTAAGAACCCAGATGATTGGCCCCAGCCGACTCGACGGAATCGGTGCGCCTAACTTGCGGGAACAACCAACAAAAAACGGAAGGGGACGGGAGGAGGACTGGACCTGGAATGGGGTCCTGGGGACCCATGGAGGTTGCACCGCGAAGCGAACGCCTCGGGCAACCAGGTACTCGGGGGACAGTTTTCGTCGATCTCTCAAGCCTTGAAGGTGGTGCTCCAGAACTTCTGCAAATTCCTGGGATATTGGGGGGTCAAACACTTCCGAAGGGCATTAGTTGGCAGGCCGATTTCTTATCGGATGTGCCTACTGTATGCCCGAAACGACCCAAACAAAAGCACTAAGAACCCCAATGATTGGCCCCGGCCGACTCGACGTCATCCAAACCGTGAGCGTCACGAAATCGGTGCGCCTGGCTTGCTGGAAATGCCAACACAGAAGCGAAAGGGGACGGGAGGAGGACTGGACCTGGAATGGAGCCCGAGCCCTGGGGACCCATGGAAGTCGCGCCGAGAAGCGAACGCCTTTGGCAACCAAGTGCACACATACGACAAGAAATCTTGCTTGTAGAACTACTGGGATACATTCTGCGTTGATCTTTGGGGGCTCTGAGGTGGTGCTCCAGAACTTCTGCGGGATCCTGGGCTATCGGGGGATAAGACACTTCCGCGAGGCACCTGCTGGCAGGCCAATGTCATATTTGATGTGCCTACTGTGTGCCCGAAATGGCACAAACAAGCGGTACTAAGAACCCGGATTACTGGTCCCGGCTAGCCAGACGTCACCCCAACCGTGCGTGTCACTGAATCGGTGCGCCTGGCTTGCGGGAAATGCCAACCAAGAGACGAACGAGCCCAGGAGGAGGACCGGGACATCGAGGTCGCACCGCGCAGCGAACTTTCCTGACAACCCGGTACATTAAAGACGTACGACAAGACATCTTGCACCAATGAATCTTGGGGGCCAGGCCCGATGGTGCCCCAGAGCTTCTGTGGTCGCCTGGGGCCATCGGGGGATAAGGCAATTTCCGCGAGGCAGTTGCACGCAGGACGATTTCTTATCTGATGCACCTATTGCAGTGGCAGCGATCGGTCCTGCCAGATTCTGCGACGAGATGCGCGCCACCGACCTGATTGGCTTTAGTAAGAGAGCGACTACGACTACATAGCTGATATACCCCAAAGCTGTTTCACATGTTTATTGCCGGATCTACACAACATTCGTATCAATTTCGCAGATCTGCTTGAGTTGTACGTATTTTCGCATGCTCGACGGACATGTCAAATTTGAGGTACATCTGATCTGCAGTCGATCCTCTACTCCAAAGCTGGCCCTGTGCGGCACTTTGTAGGGCAGCGCTCGCCCTGGCCGAGCACCCGCACGCCAGCATGCGGAGCGCGCAGCCCTGCCGGGCAAGCTCGGGGACGTTCTTTGCTTTGTTTGGGGCGTTCAGGCGCGGGCGTGGCAGCTCCCCCCCCCCGCATCTCCCGCGAAGACCCCCCGCACCTCCCGCGAAGAGGAGGCGGAGGAGGCGGAGGAGGAGGAGGAAGAGGAGGAGGAGGAGGCGGAGGAGGCGGAGGAGGAGGAGGAGGAGGAGGAGGAGCAGGAGGAGGAGGAGGACAAGGAGGAGGCGGAGGAGGAGGACAAGGAGGAGGAGGAGGAAAAGGAGAAGGATGATGATAATGAGGAGGAGGAGGAGGAGGAGGAGGAGGACGAAGAGGAGGACGAGGAGGAGGAGGAGGAAAAGGAAAAGGAGGAGGAACGCCAGTAGCTTCCAGGTGTCTCTGATCCTCATGCCATCCATCTGTAGGGCCGACTCTCGCTGGGCATTGGCGGAAAGAGGCTGAAATCCGCAGGCTGAAAGGCGCCGCATCCTTGGATAGATGGTAGATGTAGAATGAACTAGCGGTGGCAAGGATGGCGTTCTCGCGAGTTAAGTCCCGAGCAGGATACTGGAACGGCAACCCGAGATCAAGACGAATGAGAGGACAGTGGGGGAATATCGCACGAGGACGACAGACGAGGTGAACGAGGCGAGGGCATCGGAGGCAGTGATCGATCTGGTCGGGTCTGGAGCATCCAGAAAGACAATTCCAGCGCTCATCAGACGCGTGCGTACGGTCTGCGGTGGTCCATCCCCCCGCGATGGCCTTCAAGTACGGCCAGCGAACGCACGGCGGGGCACGGCGCACGAAGGAGGAGGAGGAAAAAGAGGAGGATGAGTCGAGGAGGAAAAGGAGGAGGAGGAGGAGGAGGAGGAGGAGGAGGAGGACCCCCGAGGTGGGGCGTGCGGATGATGCAGGTCCGAATGGAGTGGGCGATTGGCGTGAAGAGGTCCGGGAACGGGGGGCTGGCGCCCTCGTGCCGGCCCGGCGGGGCGGCCAGGCGCGGGGGCGCGCCCCGGCCTGGCGCGCCCGCGCGCAACTGCAAGCCACCAGCAAAGGGGAAGGGAGGAAGAGGATCACGAGGAGGAGGAGGATCACGAGGAGGAGGAGGAGGAGGAGGAGGAGGAGGAGGAGGAGGAGGAGGAGGAGGAGGAGGATTGGGATTGGGATTGGGCCCGTGGGAGTTCAACTGCTGCTGCTAGACGCCTAACAACTCCGCCTACCTTCACAGTTAGGGGAACTCTGGGGGGCGAATCGTGGTTCGCCAAACCGTCTGATGCGGCCCGTGGCACACGACGGACGCCGCACCGCCCCCACGGGCACCCCCGAGGAGGAGGAGGAGGAGGAGGAGGAGGAGGAGGAGGAGGAGGAGGAGGAGGAGGAGGAGGAGGAGGAGGAGGAGGAGGAGGAGGAAGGACGAGGAGGCGGCGTGGGCGGCCCGCACAGGGGGCCGGCGACAGGTGCGCGGCCTTCTAAGGCAGGCGCGGGTGGGTGGGCTGGGGGGGTTCTTCGAGGCCCTCCCAGCTTCTGAGGAGCCTTCTGACCAAAACCTCCAGGCCTCAGGGCCTTCTGAGAAGGCCAAGGCCTTCCAAGAAGCCCCGCGGCCTTCCTACAGGGCCGCCTTCCTCGTGCCGCCCCCTTTATGCGGCGCGGAGAGATCCCCGCGCCCCCCCCCCCCCCCCCCCCCCCCCCCCGCGTCGCGACTGCTGCACGACGCGGGCCCCTAGATCGGACAACTCGAGGGCAAACGCCCGGATGGAAAAAAGCGTATGCAGTCGGGGCGGTGACCGAAGGAACCCAAAACAGGGAACGAGGCCCCGTTTTCCCACAAGTTGAACTTCGAATTGCCATCGAAAACCTAAGGGAAACCTCAGGCCAGCTGCAAAACAGTTAAGGAACACGGAGCCCCTCCCCAACGAAAAGGGTTCCTTCTTCAACGCCCCGACTGTATATCGTCGGAGATCTGGACCCTCAGACCCCGGGCCCCGCTTCTCATAACCGCGTGGGCCACCTCGGAGCTCTCGACATCCCGGCCAACGCCTCGCCCGCTGGGCAAGCTTCGAATGGCACGGCCCCCCCAGACGGCAGAATCTCAGAACTCGCCCGTCAATCGTGATTTCGCGGCGGTCTTGGTCGTCATCGTCGGATCGTCGCCGTCGTCGTCGTCGTCGCCGCTGGGCTGTCTTCCGGTGGCCTCTGATGCCCCAAAAATCGGAACACAGGCCCCCGGGACGCCGAAACCGGGGTTATATCGACCGCCATGTCGTGATTGTGCCACGCCGGTCTGGGTCGTCGTCGTCGTCGTCGTCGATCAGTCGTCGGATCGTCCCAGGTCCAGATTTGTCATCAAGCCGCGGCCCCAGAAGGTCCCCGACCGCTTCCCCCGAGAGCAATGGTTAGTCCCAAGTTCATGTTTCATGGTCCCAGGACGCGAAAGAGGACCCCGGATGCCGCCATCGATGAAAACCGCCCGGATTGAACACTCATACCGTCAGGATGCCTGGGGTCGTTGTCGGTGGCACCTCATGGGAGCCTCCCATGCTATCTTGCTGGCTCTTACGAATCGACGCTGTCCGACGCTAGTCGCGAAATCGACGCTAATCGACGCCAGCCGACGCTGTATCGACGCAGAATCGACGCTCAATCGGCGCCCTCTCATCGACTACCAGACGCTGGCGCACGCTAAGGCACTCGAGATAGAGTTGCGAGGACATACAAGGCTCCCATGGTTCGCTACCGTCGTCGTCGCCGCCAGGCCGTCTTCTGCTTCTCCCCCTCCCCTGCCGCTGCGGAGGCCCCTCCTCCCCGCGGGGTGGCTGCGGCTGGGGGGGAGGGCTCGCCGTCGTCGTCGTGCTCGTCGTCGTCGCCGTCGTCGCACTCGCCGTCGACGCCGTCGCACTCGCCGACGTCGTGGTGGTCATCGTGGTCGTCGTCGTCGTCGTGGTCGTCCTCGTCCTCGCCGCCGTCGCCGTTGCCGCCGCCGTCGCCGTCGTCGCCGCCCGGCCGTCTCCTCCCTCTCCCCCCCCCCTGTCGGGTGTTGCTAGAAGTACCCCTGGCCCAAGGTACCCCCAGGATTCTCGGGGTGGCCCAGACGGCCTCCAGGGCACCCCTCACGAGGCCCAGAGGGCCCCAGGGGCTCCAAACTGGAGCGAAAAGCTGGGGGCACCTTGGGCCAGGGGCACTTCTAGCAGCACCCTCCCCATGGGGGTGCTCGCCAGCGCGCTCTTGTCCGCGGCCGCCGGCTCCGGGCCAGGCGGCCGCCGCTGCCGCTGCGGAGGCCCCGCCTCTCCGCGGGGTGGCTGCGGATGACGGGGGGGGGCTCGCCGTCGTCACGTCGTCGTCGTCGTCGTCGTCGTCGTCGTCGTCGTCGTCGTCGTCGTCGTCGTCCTCGTCGTCGTCGTCGTCGTCGTCGTCGTCGTCATTCTTTGCTGGCAGCTCGATGAGGAGCTTTGCCCATGGACGGGTTAGAAAGGAATGCGACTGGAACTTCATCGTCGTTTGTTGACGGGACGGGGCGAGCCAAGGGTCCCCAGAGAAAGTCTACACCTTCACCGTCTTCTTTCACGACGCGATGGGGCATGGGTCCTCCTTCTTTCCATTTCGGAGGTCCGCGTGGATGCATTGCATCGGCGGAGCGCACCATGGGCGGAGCCGCAGGCGCCGTTAGGGGAGTGCAGCGCCGATCCAAGAAATCCACCTGGACTCCCGACAGTATGCTGCTGCAGGTGTTGCTTCTTAGATTCCCGTCGCCTTCTCAACTCCTTGCCTGGCCCGCCCCCTCGATGATCCTCCGAATGCGCCTCCACGCCAACGTGCCCACCGAAGCCCTTCAATACGGCACAGGCGGTGTAACGAGGGCCGACACAAGCTGCGTGCTGTCGGTGGAGCTCGACGTACGGGTAGACACATATCTTTGGACGCCCGACATGGGTGCGGAAGAAATGGGTATACAATGCCCAGCAGCAGATGTTGTCCCAAACCAACAGCGGCCGCTGTTGGGCAGGCGGCCTTCTGTCTCGAATGGTCACAGGCCGCGGCGGTGGGGACAGCGAGTCCGGTTCAAAATGAACCCGATCAGCTGTTGGGCGTTGTGTGCCCATTCTTTCCGTGTCCGTCTCGTTCGTGCAGGACATCAGGCTGACTTTTTGATCTGCCGGGCGAGGGCGAACCTCTCCCGCTGAAAGCTAAGCGGGACGCGCACAGCTTTCATGAACAGAGAGAAAGGGCGGGAGGAAGGCGGGGCCTCACGCGGCCGGGAGAGGGCGAGGCCCAGGCAGAACCACACCAGGCCAACACGCGTCCCGAGGATCCCCTCGGCATGAGGGCGGGCCCTGCACCCCGGGGCCTCCCCCCGGGAACAGCCTCTTATCCCGAGCCGGGCCTCGGCGAATGGGGGTGCGACGAGCGGGGTGCGGACAAGAAACGTGCACCTCTCGTGCCTCTCTTTCTTATTTTTTATTTTTATTTTATCTTTTACTATGTTTTTTGTTTGCACCTCTCGTGCCTCTCGTGCCTCTCTTGGGCCTTCGAGGGCCCCATCCTTTAGGCTGCACGGAAGGCAAACCCCTCTGCTTTCTTTCGGACGCCTCTGATCACCAACTGTGACAGGTCATGGACTAGACAATGAGCTCCGCACTGCGCATCGCATCGACAGATGTACACGAAGCAAGGATGAATGAATCATGAAGTTCGGGCGCGCTTGGCAGCAC